ATAAAAAAGTTGGGTTAAGTCTCTTTGACAGTTGAGAGCAAAAAAAAAAAAAAGACTGAGTTAAGTACTTCATTTCTTGTTTTTCATGAGTATTCTTTATTTATTATTAAAAAAGTAACTAAAAATAGTAAAAATTGAAATTTTTTAGGTTAGGTAAGTAAAATAGTTTTTTTATGTAGTCCATGCATTATTTCATTTGATACTGTAATGGGATCTGCACATATGCCATGTAATTTGCAATTTATATGGTGTGAATAGTAGTTAGACTTGGTTCAAAGGACAATAAAACAATAAATTTAAGTATAAATAGACAGATATTGTTACCAGTTTTAAGCTACTTAGGATAAACAATTGTGATTTTCTGTTACAATTTGCAGCCATTCCAGAAAGAAAATAAGGGAAATTCATACAAAATGTTTAATTTTTTATGGCAGTTACGAGGTAAGTCAAATCAACTGATCTCATATACAGTTGTAAAGAAAAATAACAGATAAAATAAAGTTTTTCTTAAAAAACAAACAAACATTTGATATTTATTTAGGAGGTTTTAGGGGTTATGTAAATGACAGTTGAAAATTTTACAATGAAGAAAAGTATTTTAATCTTATCATGAAAATTACTCTGCACACACAAAGGGAAACAACATGCAGTGTAAATTGCATTTTTTATTGAACATTAACATGCTCTTTTCCTCTTGCAGAAGGTAAACATGTAGTGTACATTGTAAATAAAGTTTTTCCTTGACACTGAAGTGCTTTTTTTCCTTTTTTTATGAGTTTATTAAATTCTACTTATGGACCCTTGAAAATTAGTTTAGGACTCTTGAAAATCTCACTAAAAATATCGAAAATATATTCTGCTTTTTTACTTTTTAGTAAAACATCATTTAGTATAATAAACAGCTACTCAGTTATTGACAAGTTAGTGGAAAAAGAGGGAGAGAAAAGGGTGGCAATTTATCTACAAACATTAATATTTTGCTTTATTGCAAAAAATTAAAGTGATATATATTTTTGGTAGTTAACACCTGGATGAATAATCACATTATTATCTTCTAATTCTCAGGTATTCTCACAAATCTCTAAATATCAATTATGTTATATATATAAACCAAAATTTAAATTTCATACCCAGATTCAGGTAAAAGACTAACTATGGTACCTTTTAGGTCAACAGTTTAACTAATTAAGTTTTGTGCATAAAATAATTTACCTGTAGGTAAAAGTATTGGAGGCAAAGTGCCATCATTATCTGATATGACAACTCGTCTACACTGCATATCTCTATCTGGTCCTCTCTTTCGCCTACCAGGTGCTACTATAGAGCTTCCACCTGGTTCAGGGCCCGATTCTCCTATTCAAGAAATTGATTGAATAGAAAATTAACAAAAAAGAAGTTGCAAGTGAAACATTGGAATAACAATACAGAAATTTAGCTTTCTTCTAAAGAAACGTTTTTGTAGAGTTATAAATCTAATACTTTTGTTGTTTTATTCTTACATATAGCAATATACACAATGAAAGCATAAAGCACATGATCTTACATAACAGACTGCAAGCCATCTTGACAATACAACACTAGTTGCACACTGTTTAATTAATAAACATGATTATTCCTGACAAACATACCAGTAACCTTCATCTGGGCATGACCCTGACGTCTGAATGGTATAGAATGACAATCTGAAGAGTTATCAAGATCGGTTAAATCACCACCAGGACGGATACCATCAGAAAACATAACTTGTTTTGGTTCTCCACGAGGCTTCTCTCCCGCTGAGGTACAACAAAACAAAACATTGTTTATTTGGAAATTTACTCTTACTAACAAAATAATATGCAAAAAAGGAATATAAAAGAAATCTGGAAAATGTGAAGTACGTACATTTTACATAAAAAAACAATTTTAGAAACCACTGACCAATACTTATTTGTAAGTAATTGATAGAAAATAAAAAATATAATTGTTACTTATAACCTTCCTGCCAGTGGTTCCAGTTAAAATAACTAACTATTATAGTTTTCCTGATGATAGCTACTAATTTATATAAAAACAAATTGGCATAAGCAATATTTCCAAATTGATTAATCTATTTTCAAATTGCTTCATTACTGACCTCTTAAAATGAAACTAAAATGCCAAAGTCATACATTATAAGTGACTTTGTTATAATTTGGTTTGAACATTTCAATATATTCATTTCTTTCACCAATAAAGCTACATTCTTTTAATATAACTATATATATACAAGTCCATGGCAGTCAAACAAACACAAAAATACAAAGTGAAGTTTAGTTAAATGACTAGCCAAATTTTGTAAGAGAAACTTGTTTTTATGAACTTTGAATACAATCAAGAAAAGCAGTTCTAGAAAATAAATTGTTAGCAAATAACTAAATATTAATCTATGAAAAACATATTTTAGGAAAAATTACATAGGCACTAAAATGTCTGATTGTCTATCTATTCCAGAATATTTCCCATCAAATTAAGCCTAAATTAAGACAGCATGCAGATGAGCTAGGCCACATCTATTTTTAGTTTTGCATCTCAACATCAATTCTCCTATTAAAGTTAAATACAAAACAATAATAATAATAAAAGTAAGATAATCTATAGATTGAGAAACTTTAACTTACTTAGCTTTCAAACTGATTATTAGTATCATTTAAAAGCTAGAATGGGTAAATAAATTTGATTTTTTTAGATTTTTAAGTACAGAGAGGAATGTCTAAGTATGAAAAACAAAACAATTCCTTACAAAAGTATATCAAATGATTGTTATTAGTATATCTTAAGTCTTATTGCAACACACATACTGTTAAACCTAGAATTTCTTTGCACAATTCCAGGTTAACAGCTAGGAGATAAACAGCTTCACCTCTTTTGAGGACTCCTACAGGTACCAATACTGTCAGAGGAGGCCTATTCAAGTTGCCATTATCTTGCTGCAGAGGTGATACTGTGGAACAGTATTCTTGTGGATTGTTAGGATCAGGCTGTTTTCTTGCTTGACCCTGTATGGATGATTCACATGGTAGAAATCCTGGGGATGTAGGTGCAGAGCTGGATCCTGAGTATAGAGGAGATACAGCTAAGCTACTAGCTCCAGGGCTGGGACTTGCTGGAACACTACTGCCAGTCAGTCTCTCAACTGCTTGAACTAAAGTAAATTGCACTGATGGTAAATAAATAACAAAATGTATGACATTTTCCAAAGAAACAGAAGTCACAAAAAGATACCTATTAAAGTTACCTTACTGGCAACCATTAATTAAATATAAACACAAATATGAGTTTAAGTCATAAATACATTTAAATTTCCAACTACATTCCCAGTCCATTGATATGTCTTACACTAATAGCACAAGCTAATACATTTTTTTAAAAATAACATCACTGCTAGTAAGAGTTAAAAACAACAGTCTTCAAAAATAACAACATCATATGTTTAAACTAACATTTTAATTAAAGTGCATATTCAGAATCCAAAGTCATATTGTTTCCAAGCTCATCCACTTGGCTGTAGTGTAACTAACTACTAGAGAGAACTGAGATGCTGTTTTGTTACTGTTAAAAAGGGTTCCTCTTAGCAATGAGTCTGAAACTTGTGTCATGAAAAAAAAAGAAGTCAAAAACAGAATCAACGCGTAGCCATTAGTTAGAACTACAACTATTAAAAACAATTATATGATACAGACAAAAGAATATTATAATAATATGGTTACTTGACTAACAATGAACTTTTAGGGTAAGTTTCATTTACAGTATTACTTTTATGATTATTGTTCAATGTTCGTGTATGTGTATTTAGTGAAATATTGACTGAAAAATGCTTTTTGCTGGAAAAATATGCATTTAAAAATGTATAAACGAATGTCATTAAACACTGAGGTGGCACATAGAATGAGTATGAGAAATGGTGAGTATGGTTGAACATTTAGGTAGAATTTATGTGATTTGAGTCTAACCTTTTATCTATTCACATTATTAAAAAGTACATTTTCTCTATTTTAATTTCTTTCACACTTAACATGTTTTGCTTGTTTTTTTTCTACCTGTCATGAAAGTTCCATTCATATGATCTGTACCTCATTTTATTTGCACAATATATCTCTTAATTTTACTTTTTTATTCTCTCTATTATTTTCATATTAGGTTGATTTCTTTCTTTTTAGCTAATTTTGTTGGTAAATGTTGGCTCTTTCATGTATCAAATTTATAGATGATACATGTAAGAATAATATTAGAAATATAAGTTGCATACAGACCCTCATGGAACTTTTGTTTAGATCACACAAATAACAAAATGTTTTGTAAATATACATGTAGAGATGTAAAAACAAATTGTATACTAGATTAATTCAATTCCTATTAATATTTTAAATCCAATAAGGATAAAAGTATTGCATCTTTTGCCATTAATTTCTTTATTTATTTGGATGTACTAAATATTCCTCTATTTCTCGACAATCAGCAAGAAATAATTTCTACAGTTTGAATTAGGATGGATTAATTTTTAAATTAATGTTAATTTTCTAAACACACCTTCAGAAGGATCAGTTATTTTATTAATTATTACATTCAAGATGCATTTGAAAACAAAACGTTTTTAACATTAAGTAGCATTCTTTTTGATTATTATAGATACCTTTATTAAGGACTGCAAGACAATTATGACACACTCTGGCTTCTTTATTGTCAAGGTAAATCAGCCGTGCTTTCTGATTACAGCAGTGGGCACATAACACCTAATAGAATTCAATAAAACAACTGTCAAGCATTTGGATTTCTTTCTTACAAAAAAACAAAAACATCTTTCTTCTTTTAAAAATATTTTTGATTTCAATGTAATTTCTTTTAAACTCTCCTTTACTACACAAGATTAGAAAAGAATGTTAATATTTTTTTTAACAAAATTTACCCCAAGCCTATTCCTTCTGTAAACAAACTCTCCTGGATAACATTCTTCATTGTCAGCATAACTGGTCTGATGAAAGCTAATAAAACTAAAAAAGTTGTTTTCAACAAATAATGGTATTGTGTTCTTAACTCACAGATGTAATTTCAATTATAAAAAAATGCCCAACTCATACTAAAAAAGTTGTACTTAATAAGTCAGTTCATAAGGAGCATGCATGCCCCATAATGTTTTCAGCTAATGGGTGTTAGAATCCTAGTTTTATATGTACATACACCAGTAAAGATCTTAAATGCAGAGTTTTCTAATTTTGTAAAGTTATAAAGGTTTAGTTATTTACATAAAATCCGTACTATTTTAAAATTAGTAAAAAGATTGTGTCAGACAAAGGACATGCAAAAAAAATACATTTCAATAATCACTTAAAATACATAGCTAATTAGATTTATAAAGAAAAAAAAGATGGTAAAAATTGTACTTTTTTATTAACAGCTGATTTGCAAGGAAATGCTTTTTTGTTTTTACATGTTTCGACTGGCTTTTGAAAATTAATTTACTGTACTGTTTAACTTGTGTCAAATGTAGATCAGTATAACATATTAAGATAGCATTAAGGACATTTTTGATATGCCTTTAAGTCATGGAGATATTACCTTCCAACATAGGACCTCTTTCATGGTGGTTATCACTTTGTTTGAGCAATATTCATGACCAGAAGGCATTAGATAGAGAAGTAAATGTAAATTATAATATATTTGAATGTTACAAGACATTATATATTGTTTTGAGTTCAAAATATGCATATTTAGTACCAAAATGTACGAAGGGTTTTATCTCAGCTAATGAGATCTAATTACAGAGAAATTGTACTGATAAAATAAATAGCCAATAATGCAATAGATCTATAGTCATCTTATGTATGCTACAAAGTAATAAGACATTTGATCAAATTTTGTTCTGTTGGGAATGATTCATCAATGTTAGGTTATGTGCTGTCAACCAAATGGCTACCTCTGAAATGGTCAAGTAAAGCATTCTTTTATATTTTGTCCACATCTTGATGTATGACCCTTTGTGTTGACATTTAAATCAGCAGTGTTATTACTACCACAAGCTTCATCAGGCAATAAAGTGCCATCAGTAAAGATTTACAATTTTGTTGCCATATTACTGGTTCCAGGTTTTGTACCATATCACAGGCTAAAAAATATCTCTATAACACCCTGTATTGTTTTTAACAATTTTGGCTTTCTGTACAGTACTGTCCTGACAATTAGTCAAAGATGTTTTTGCTGTGCTGCTCAGCAAACAATTGGAAGTTTGCATTCATGTGAGTGGTCCATCTCTAGTTGTGTGAGCATCTGCTCAATTGAAAGTTTAAGGGATCTATAAGCCAGTCTAATCACAAAATACTTTGATTTCAGCTTTATAAGAAACAGTATTTTTTGCACTGTACTAAGCACCATGTTTTGAACACTAAGCCATCCAAGTACAAACTTACCTGTATTTTCGAAGTTTGAAAAATTAATTATACTAGCAGATCAATCTTTACTTGATGTGACACAGAGGGAGCTGTTAGCAAGCATTTGGACATTAATGGTTATGGGGTTTCCATATTGCTTGCATTTTTTGTTCATCCTTGTATCCATTCTTTAAGCCCTTAATATACTTTGACCAAAATACATGCATTTGTAGATTAAAAAAAAAGGAAGAAGAAAAAAGGACCATTGATCAAAATAGCCTATTCTATTTTCTATGTTTGTATAAGCAGTGTTAATCCTTCCATAATCTGGCAAGGTCACAACAGATCTTGAATCTAAAAGTTGAGATGCATACATTTGGCCTAAACATATCTTCTAATTGTATATAAGCACATAAATGTACTTAAACATATTTCTAACCTTTATTTGCACACATAAAGTTAACTTGTAAATTTCCTTTAATATACGTTTTTTTCATGAAGTTTGAGAGCAAATTAGGATTTTTTTTATAGGCCTGAAAACAATGGCAATAAGCATAAAAAAAAAAGCATTCCTATCTTTTTGGTCAGTTACCTTGATATTATTTGTAGAAAGCATGAAAAACATCATTAACATGCCCCAATAATAAATAGAACTTGAAATCAAAACTTAAAGGTTAGGAAAAAAGCCTTAAAGATGCAAGAAAGAATTATTTTTCTGAAAACACGTTACTTGTTATCTATGGACTGACCTTTCCACATGCTCGACAATGGTGTCTTCTTTTAATCATTGTAAACCTGGTTTCACAGTGCATGCAGCTTGCTGCATCAATATCTGGTATCCAGAAAGGCTTTACTTTACCAAGCATTTGTTCTTCTTCACTCAATCTTGCACACATGTTTTCTAAGGAAGATTGTTCTTCTGTGAAAAAAAGAAAAAAAGCTAAATGTACAAAAACTTACACAGCTCTTTATAATATACCTATGGCTAAAATTGTCTATGAATACAACTGCTGAATTAAACAGTTCATCCTGTTTCAATTGCAAGTACTAGCCACAAGTACAGATGTTTTACTTCCAATATTTAATTAATTAGAAAATAACACACTGTTTTCTCTCTACTTGTTTACTTGTTTCCATTATACATTATTTAGTATGAAAGAGTATTAAATAAATTAATATAATATTACCATAATTAGGGTCCATGATATGGGGAGACCCACTATAAGGACTATTGGAATCACCTGTTTCACCTGCACACATTTCATCAGTAACTGGGACACCTTGTTTATGTTCTGGAGATGGTGTTTCATCAGAGTCTGAAGATAAAGGTAGAACCGGCTTGGGCATAATGTGAGCACGTAAGGGAAGATTGAGGAAAGTTGGACGTTGGACTTTAGGCTGAATGACTTCACCAGTTCCTTGAGAAGAAAGTTTGGGTAAAGGAACAAACATGTTACATTCATCAGGTGATTTCACTCCGACAGAAGCATCCTTAAATTCTGTATTTGTAGTGCCACAAGAACTTAAGCATTGCTCTGGTGTTGACAACATATTTTTATTTTTTGAAAATTTCTCTTCCTCATTTAACAAAACAGTTGAATCTGATGTTGTTTTAACTGGACTTACAGTTTCAGATTTTATCTCAGTACAATTGTTGCAATTTAACAAATACACATTTGGCATTACTTCATGCACATCACTACTGATCTTTGTTTCTTCATGTACAGAATCACTTGTATTATGATCTTCTGCAACTAATTTTGAATCACTTCCTTCAGTATCATCAGCATCTGATGTTAACAGTTCACTTTTTTCTTCTTTGATGACAGACTTTTCCACAGACCAGTCATTACCAATTAACTCTTTAACACAATGACCATTCATAATTGATTTATTTACAGAATAGTTATTAACATCAGAGTCTTTAATATAGCAGTTGTTTATAACCATCTTTTCATATCTTCTAAAATTTTTATCTACTAAATAATTATGTTGACTGGTAATTTCGTTTTTTATAGACAATGAAATTTCATTTTCTTCTTTTGCTAAGCTATTACTATCAGAAGCATAAAGACTACCAATTTTATCCACTTCTTTCAATTGGGTTTCTTCAATGTTGTGATTTTCCTCAATGTTGCTATTTACAGTTTTTTCAGTGTCCTCTAATGTTAAATCACTTAAATAGTGTTCTATTTCTGCTTCACTAAGATCTTCATCACTTAAATAGCTAAATCCTGTTATCTGAGCCTCACATCTGTGTTCGTCAGGCAGACTTAAATTACAGCATGCATCAATAACATCAGATATTTGTGTTTCAGGAAGAAAACTTTTGATGTGAGATAAATCATCATTATCACAAATGAGCTTATGTTGCCTTTGAGTATCATTTCTCACTTGAAGATTTTGAGATATGTTACTGTGGTTGTTCTGATTAGTTTCATCAGTGAGATGAGACTCTAACTCATTATTAACACATTTATTTTCAATTTCTGAAACCCAATCTTTAAGGATATGTCTAGAATCTTCCAATTTTGTTGGACCGGAATTATTCTGAAAACTTCTGATGTCAATATTTTCAATATCTTGTTCTTGAGAAGAATCATCAAGAGAATGAATACCATCTTCAGTCTGTTCAATAACTGCTGGGTCATTAGAATTTGCTTTTTCTTCATCTTTCAATAAAGTCGGATTTGTTCCTGCAATTAGACTTGCACCTGATAATTTTGAATGATCCCCACTGGTTTCATTAAGGTAAATATTATTACTGTCAGATGTAATTGTAGCCTGTGCTAAACAAAATTCTTTATTGCCTACACTGCTAGTAATATGTGAATTTTTGCAATTGAAACTGGACTCAGAACTTTTACATTCTTCAGTGGTATTGGTCTGACCTTCGAGTGACTCGGAGACACCAGAGAAAAAAAAAGAATCACTGATCTCATCATCCTTATCTTCAGTTTTGATGTTGCTGCTGGGAGAAAATGAATAACAGTTCACTACTGCAGTACTAGAGGTATTTACATCTTGTATAGAAAAAGTGTTTAACATCTGATCCGATGACAGTAAATGAACTTCATATTTCACATCTTGTGAGACTTTTGTGTTTGATATGTTATTAGTTTCTGCTGGAAGTGAAACACTAAACACATCTTGATCTTCCTCTCCAGAGTAACCATTTATAATGTCTTCCTTGTTATTGACAACTTGTAATCTTGATGCGCAATCAGTATTCAAGAGTGAATGATCTTCTAAATGACTTGGTATTTCAGTAGTTGAACTAGTTAAACAAGTCCTATTACCTATTGAAGTTTCACCAGGAGGCATTCTCAGAGTATCATGTGATTTATGCGATTTTATCAGATTTGAATGACATTCAGAAATCAAGGGATACTGTATGCTCTCAACATTCTGTGAATGAGGAGTGTGCAAAATATTGGATGGCAATGTTGAAACATTTTGTAAATATTCTGGTTTTGAACCTGAAGAGTTATTAATATTAGAAGGGACTATTTGTTGATCTGTCTTAGAACATTTCAGAGATGCATTGTGAGAATCATTTTTTATAGTTACAGTATTTTTTGAATTATGCTCCATGTAGTGAAATGAGTCCAGAAGTAATAAATTCTGATCTACAGATGTAAGGGATGCATGATTTTTCAGGCTTTTAATTTCATTGACAGGAGAAGGGGGGTTTAAAGTGGAGGTCTTCAAGTTTGCTGCAAAGTCTGCCTCAGCAAGATCAAATTTATCTGCATACTCTGCATGCCAGTAGTTCTTTGACAGTCGAAAATTAGTAGATTTCAGGTCTCTTGAAGGCATATTTAAAACACCTTTTCTTTCAAAAACACCCGAGTTATTTAGGTCTTTCCCATGTTGTAATCCTCTTACATTGACATGTAATCTTTGAGACTTCCAAACATCATACAGAACTTTATCTTGCTGATCTGCAAAATAACAGACAAAATTATAGATGAAGCAGACAATAACAAAATTTAATGTCTTATCTTACCTAGTAAATTTGTATCTTAAACCTTGAAGCAGGACTAAATACATGTATAATAAAATCATAGGATACTAAAAGCTGCTGGCATAGAATATAGTATAATATAAATTTTAATTATGGCATGAAATGTACAATGATCAGCTAAACTTTTTTGGGCAGATGTCAACAATGTTTCAAATATATTTAGATTACATACAATACCATTGTTATTGAACAGAAACATAATTAAGGTGTCCATTTCATTACTCTGAATAACACTGTTATTATTTGATATACAAGTGTTAAAGGAATGAAGCACTGCTATGTATATAATAATCAAACAGCAGATGTAGCTATGTGAAACATTTTTTAGCAGTGTGCAATACAAAAAAATTACTTTGTAACTTAGGTGATTTGGCTTGTAAAGATTTTTTTTGTACTTAAAGCAACTGCAGACACACAGGAAAAATATGAGAATTTGGAATCAATAAAAGACATTTCCTAAAACAATTCCTTCCATGTTAATGAAAACATCATTTATTAATCTTTGCTCTTACACAGCTTTTTTAGTTATAAAGAATAATTTCACTTTCAATTCATAGCTATATTTCAAAAGTGCTATATTATAGCATATAAATTTGATACATTTTTAGTAGTATATATGCATGCACACACAGATTTCATATGATTTATTTTTTTTACCCTCATTTTCCTCAAACTCATCCAGGACCTTGTCCAAGTCTACTGTAAACTTATCCATCTTCAATCAGCTGAGGATTTGGAGTAGTGTCATTAGGTCACATAGCTTAGTGTATGAGCCATATATATAAAAAAAATAATACATTCAAATTACACCATTTAAAGATATGTACGCATTGTTCAGTGCAAATGTACACTACTGTGCATAAATTAGAGACACCACCATTTAGTCTTCTGTACTAAATGTGTCCTGAATGAAATATACTGTAGTAATAACACCAATCTAAAACCCTTACTCATTTAAATACTTTCCAAATCGTGGATTTGGTTTAAAGTAATTCTAAAAAGAATGAGGTGTAAAAATGTCAGAACTGACAATAGTTATTTTTCTGAAAACTGGGATGTGTAGCTTTTATATGTTGTAATGTTGTGGCTATTATACTGATGTCTAATATCTAATAGCATTCCATACATTTATTAATTTTCTATTGTAAAACTATTAAAACAAAATTTTCCTTGATTGTTACATTTATTATTTGATTTTGTAAAAAGTAGATACAATTTCTTTAGTCTGTGACTCTAGCATGACTGTTCTACTTTCAAGTAAGAAATATGGCTCCAAGACCCACAGTTTCTGATAATGTATGATGTAGCACAATAGCTTTAAGTTAAAGAGGCCAACATTCGTGAGTGAATGCAATATGTCTCCACTATGCAATCCCAATGTGGCCATTTTTTTTCACCAGAAAAATCATGAAGAACACATAGAAATCTAAAACTGTCTATATCACTGCCTGGGACCTGCAAGAAGGTATCTTTGTACCAAATCATATGGAAGTTGGTTGACATACACATGAATAGTTCATGAAAACCCAAAATTGTGCTTTCTTCACCAAAAAACTGAACAAAAGATAAATTATAAAACTGTCTATATCTCTGTTTGTTTGCACATGAACCTTTGAACCCATAAAAGCCTTAAAACAACCTAAACCAAAAAATTGAAATAGGTTCTGGGCATATTGGACCAAGGTATAATCCTAAAAAGATTCAAGTTAATTTGCGGAGAAATGAAGAAATTGCAGTCACTTGAAAAGTGTTTGGAAGAAAAAGAAAGAAACAATATAAAAACAGTGTATCTCTCATTAGAGACATTATAAAGAGGGTTAGATATAATAATGGACAGATTTCTACAAAAAACAAAAAATACAATGAAAATGTTACCACTTATGAAAAGAGAAGACTTGTAAGACCACTTAACCTTTCCTAGCCAGATATTAAGTATCTTAGGCTAATTCACTCAGAGGCAGATATAACTTTAATCTTTATTCTGGAAAGGCAACAAATAAAAAGAGACTTAAGTTTGCTAAAACCCAAACAATTGGACAACCTGCACACTTTGGTCTCCACTTTGGAGAGTACTTTGGTCTTATGAGTCTGAGATTTTTAGAACCAACAGATGCTAGTATGTTCATCAAAGGAGTGGTGAAAGATTTAAGAAGATTGTTGGTCACCTTGAGTTAACCCTTTGTTTGCAGCTTGTGTAAATATGCTTTCCACCCCATGCACAAAGATTTGTGAATTTTTGAGGTGGGCCATTCAAAATGTTGTGTGCAAAATGTTTGCATCATATGAAGTCAGCAACAGTCACCTACACTAATATCATATGATGTCAACCAAGGGTTAAACATGGTGGAAGTAATGTCCAAATATAGGGCTGTTTAACCACATATGCAGTTGGTGATCTGGCCGATACTGACGGAGTCTTAGATTCTGCCCAATATAAGCAAATACTTGTCATTTAGTGTGATAAGTTTCATTTTCCAGCATAAAATTATCCAAATCTTACACATAAAAAGGTAACAGATGGAACTCTGAATTCTTTGTGTGAGTTCCACAGAGCTCAGACCTCAATACTGTTTGTATGGGACTACCTAGATCCATAAAAACAGCAAATGAAGCCAAAATTAAAGGAAGAACTCTGGGTTTCAAGCCCCACTTATTATCTCCAAAAGCTTGAAAAAAGCATTTCTTATCAATTTCAGGCAGTGATTTCATCTGAGAGGGGTCCCATAAAATATTTTAAAAAATATCTTTAAATTTGTTTTATATACATTTCTTTTGCCTTCAAACATTATGAAGTTCTGAAATACCTGCAGCAATAAAACTTAGCATGTTTTTAGATTTAAAATTCCTGGTTATGACTGAGTGGTTTCTAATTTATGCACAGTATTTTACATGCTACAGATAACTGTTCTGATAAATATATATATATATATATATATATATATATATAGTACTAGTAGTA